TCTCTAAAACTGACTAAAAAACATGACCTGAGAGTAAAGCCTGGAAAAGTACGCCTATACTGTTTCCGCGGTCAAGACATGAGATAATATGACCAACTTAGCATAGGAAATTATAACCATGAGAGTTATGCTACATCGGAGAATTGGGCACTTAGGCGAATGTCTAAGGTGCTGTCTCGTCGATTATGATAATCTAACATAATCGCCACGCATGTGGGAAGACATTTATCATCAAGAACATAATTTACAACACTATACTGACTCCTTACATCAAGCCTGCACAAAGTATGACATTAGAATAAACATCGCGAAAACTGAGGTAATGAGGTTAGGCAAGAAACATAATATCGTGTACGTTCATGTTAACTGTACTACAATCAAACAAGTATGACAATTCAAATATCAAGGAAGCATATATACCGAGAATGGCAGTCTCGATAGAGAGACAAGCCAGAGTACAGAAGGCAAATGCTGTCACCTACCAATTAGTCCCACTGCATAGACACTTATATATCTCTCTTCCAGAAAAACAGCAAATGATTAATAGCATCTTTATCACTACTTTATGTTATCACTACCAAAATGGACAATGAATAAGGCACTAGAACCCCCCCCCTCCCCCCCCCCCCACAAAAAAAATAACTACATGGAAATGCGCTGTCTCCGCAAGGTCACTAACAACACTACCAACACTACTTCCGGTCAAAATGGACGCTAGACAGGGGCACTGTTTGGAGCCAGGACAAATCTTTTTTGCTTCTGCCGGACGGTGTCCGATGCATTTTTGCTCCATTTGTAGACCGGATATAGTTTCGTCGCCCAGCTTCTGAGATGAGTGCATGGCGTGACAGTGAACTGCAGATTTCATTTGGAATTTTTTTCCGACTGTGAACAACGTGGTGGTGTGAATTGTAGATTCAGAAAATGACGCGATGACTGTCGTCGCAATGTTTGTGGTGCCCGTGTGTGGTTAAAATTGATTGCGTGGGCAACTGCTGATGTTGGTGACTTCTGTTACCATCAATGATGAACTACATTTCTAATGTCGGACTGTTTGTGTTAGCCCTTAGGATGGCTACCGTATGCTTTAATGCGTGTGTATGCTAGATATGCTGACAGCAGTCTGTCAATCTTTCCACAAAGGACTGTGATAAACATTATGTGTGTTTTTCGTTGGCACAGGAACGGAGCAAAGATGGGGTGACCCGTTTGCTATGAAGCTGAAACTAAGACTACCAGACCAGACTGCAAATGAGACTTTTTACAGTAGAACATCTGAGAGGAAGACGAGAAAGAGATGGATAAATAGTGTAGCTGAAACCTGCAAAACGATGAACAAATCTATCACCCAAGCCACCCGAGAAGCGCAAGACAAATACAGAAAACCACGACACTGGGATACAACCTGGTATCAGTAAGACGACGAAAGAAGAAAGAAGAAGGGTACGAACAGCAGTCTATCAGTGGGCAACTATAAGACAAAATACTTTTGGAAATCCCTGTTATTCTGAAAGTTATGTTCAAGTTAAAGTCGAGACGATCGACTTCCTGGTACAAGCTTTTCCCTTATCACGTGTCCCAGTTTTCTAGTATAGCTCACTGCCTGTCAAGAGCGTCACACAAAGCAAGGCCGCCGAATTCTAGAGAAGATCCCCAGGGATCACCGTAGAAACTTCACACATAAACTAACCTGGCATCTAAGAAAAAAGCCCACGACCTTCTGGGTGCAAGGCAATCGGCGTGACCGCTTTGCCATCAAGGCTTCTCCTGGTAAGTCTGAACGCCTCCACCCCCTCCCCTCACCCCAAAAAAGAGGAACCTGAAAAAAATCCCCAAAATTAGGAGATTCTTGAAAGATGTCAAAGCCAATAGTAAATGCTTCCAGTGAAGCCTTAGTTGGTGTGCACTGTGCAATATTTCGGCCCATTAAAGTCCCGAAATAAATGAATGAATCAACTCCAATAAATTACCTAGACTTTCTTCAACACCACTGAAACCAGACCTAATGTATCATGTGTCCGCTTGGGCAAAGATATATTGACACTGTTTGCTTTGTAACGAAGATATAAACAGCTCTGTGAAATGTTACTGCTCATTTTCGATCAATACCAATTAGCAGCCTGTGCCTACAAATCTAGGGGAACTAATTCAGTCAGACGTAACACTAAAACAATTAGCGCAGTTGAGAAATGAGAAATGAGTCATGGGTTATGGTTTATTTAAAGATTTAAAAAATAAAATCACATAGAGATGAACCCTTTTCAAAGATATAATCCCTTTAAAAAAATCTGGCTCTTCCTTTTGGGGCATCTCTTGCACAATCCTTCATGACTCAAAGTACTGACAAACGAGCTCATATAGGGCTATTGTTTAATCCACCCCAGAAGTACAGAGGTAATTTAATACTAGTGAACAGTTGTATACCAAATGAGGCACAGTTCAGATGGAACTAGACCATAATTTAAAACTTTTCCCAGAAGGCAGTCTTACAATCAATGGGAGATTATAGTAAATGCAATACTGAAACAAACTGAATTTAAACCAACACATTTCCAGACAATTATTCAATATGTTTTTTTCGATGACAGTTGTCAAGGCAGAATGTTGGAGTAAGTGTTGCCTTTCACGCAGACATCTGAAAAAAATTATTACAAGTTTATGTGATCCTTGTCTGTGGGTTATTGACCACTGGGATGTATTAACCCTACAAACTTCTTACAATTATAATGCGATTAGCTACACAAGACGTTACAAGCTAAACCCTGCGTTTGTTGACAGCTTGTAGTTTTACTAGACAATTTTACATTCAGTAGTGTGCCATCAGTCGGCTCTGTGGCTAAGTCGATGCGAACACTTCATAATATCGGGATGCCGGGTTCGATCCCAGCTGCGGGCCATGCGCCTTGTATTGGTTTCGACAGAGGTATTAAAGAAGCCTACCGTCCAGAAAGCAATGGCAAACTACTTGACGTAAATTTGCCTAGAAAAACAACATAAACAGCCAGGGGCCGTTGGGGTTGGTTTTGCAACGTCCTGTAAAGGATACCCAACTAACCTAGTATGCCATCAACATCGCCTTACTTAGACTTCAACAATTGACACCAAAGGCGTTTGAACATGTGGGGAAGGGGAGGGGGGGGGGGGCAGGGATTTTAGCAGAAAGCGCCCCCCGTACCCCACCCCCCTTCCACAAACGTTTTGTTAGTGACGCCACGCTCGGTCAGCGCTCCACACAATTTCTAAAATCACCTGCAGCTGAATCAAAAAAAAAAAAAAGTTTACCATGAGTAGTGAATTGCGCTAAACGCTAAGAGATGAACAGGCAGGTTTTCGGCCATACAGATCTTTCACTGACCAGATAGCCCCATTACGTATAATAATCGAGCAAAGCATTGAACTGAATTCATCACGTTGTATTGGATTCTTAGAAAAAGCTTTCGACAGCATTAAACATAATTCTCTTTGGAAATCGATGGGCATTATGGAATACCACATACAATTAATAACTTAGTAAATGGCAACATACAAAGACATGAAATGTTGAGTTTTTAATAAGGAAAAGTTAACAGATACATTTAAAATAAAAGCTGCATGCGATACCAAAGGATAGAATTACTTGGCATGAGTTGCTTGAAGGTCTATGCTCCATTGGGGGTTAGAAAGGCAGAAAACCAAGAAACAAGAAGTGAACTGCGTTAGCATCGGCTAAGCCACAGTCGCCAACCACAATAATAGTGTAACTCCAAGATCAGACAGAATGCATAAATTGAAATAGTTATGTTAAAAAAAATGGGGGGGGGGGGTTTGGTTACGTTGAAGAGAAAGGGGTGGGGGTATTGAAGGGGAGGCTGAATTGAAGAAGATCTTCAACATTCGGGCTGGGGCGGCATAGGCGGACCTTTAATTAGGTTGCAGCTGGTACTATAAGCATGTCGACTCTTCGATGAATAGTAAGACGGAGCACATTTGTGAAAATCCTGAGTGCATTGATGTCAATTCTTGATTCATTTATTCCCAAAACTACAGAAACCCACATCTCTCGCTCAGCTACGGGAGACAACCCCAACAGCAGAACTTAAAATGCAAGTAAGAGTAGAGGGCCCCTTTTCCGTAATTGACGCTTTTGGGCATATCGTCCCATACTTTTATAGACCAATAGGTCTTTTGATGGGAGAGGTGGTTATCCCAAGCTTGTCTCCTTTACTTCTCAGCACATTTCCTCGTACGCATTTTAGGCTGGTTAAGTCAGTTGTAAATGTCCGCCTATATCAACATCGGCAGATACTCCCTAGACTCCTTTATTTGCCCTTCCAAATTGTTTTTATGTGGAGTGAGTTTACTATCCTGATTTTATATATATATATATATATATATATATATATATATATATATATATATATATATATATATATATATATATATATATATATATATATATATATATATATATATATATATATATTAGTAGTGAATAATGTCGTTATAAACAAAAAAAGAATTGTCACTACTTATTTTATTTTTTACAATCTTGTAACCCATGGGTCCTCTATATTCTTATACAATTCTTACACTTCTTATGCCCCTTTGTGTGGCGAGAAAGATTCAATCAAGCCTCCGTATAGTGTCGAGTTTACTTAACTCTCCCTGGCAGGCAAGTATTTTATATATATACATATTTTAAATCACACCATTTAAATTCATTCATTCAATCTTTTTGGTAATTTAAATCAATGGCTGGATATTTTCTGGCGTCATCATTCACAACTCTAAACCAAACAGAGCTAATGGGATCCTTTTTTTAATTGGTTATTTACATATATATATAAACACACACACTAGTTTTAGTATTCGTTCTATAAAAAAATAAAGCCATATGTTAATACCCGATCATGCATCAAGTAATAATGTCTGAAACAATTCTCTTGAAATCTTAAATAAAATCAAAACATTATTGCGTTTTCCTAACTAATTTATTTGAGTCTAAACGTTTGACTTTTATATTATGCCAAACATAAAGGGTTGACAACAGAAGCAGCTTCGACAGCTCGGATGACCTTGTCCTGAGGGTTGTTGTTGCATAGGTTGACCAAGGCGTATAATTTCCTGAGAGCGAAATCATTGGTGGTAATGTCCAGGCCAGGACAGAATGCCAACAAAGTGTCCACAGCCGTTTCATAGCAATCCCAATTGTTGATTTCATTGTGGTCCTTCATGCTGAGATCGTACACGGTATTCTCTGGCAAACCACTGTGAATAGAGACAAAACAGATAAAGTGACCAACAGTTGTGTATAGAAACAAAATTGATAGAATGTTAGTTGCGTTGTTAGGGGTGAATCATACCGAGCACCAAGGGTGTATGACTTCATCCAGTCACACAAAAGAGCACCCTCAGACGACACAACGACTATTAGGTTCCAACAGGAGAGTAAAGAGATGTCAACGACAATAAGCCCATCACCACCATAAGCCAGGCACACGTAACAAGCTAACATGTCCTGTCGTAACCATTAACATTGTCTACGAGTTCTGTGATACAATACACCACGCCAAGTGGGATATTTTAGTGCGATCAGTCTCTTTATTATAGACGAACATTTTCCCTTTGGTCAACACACACAACTTACAATGACCAGCAGCTGTGTATGGAGACAAGACAGATACAGTGACCATCAGCTAAGTTGAGAATGGATGAGAAGCTTCTGTCGCAAACAGTTGTGTGCATAGGTTAGTTGCGAATCCTTTACAGGACGTTGCAGAACTAACCCCAACAGCCCCTGGCTGTTGTGTGATTTTTCTAGGCACATTTACATCCAGTAGTTTGCCATTGCTTTCTTGACGTTCGGCTATCTTGATACCACTGTCGAAAGCAACGCAAGGCGCATGGCCCGCAGCTGGGATCGAACCTGGCATCTCTGCATTACGAAGCGTTTGCATCGACTTACCACAGAGCCGATTGTGTGCAGAGACAAGGTCAAAAAATGCATTCGTTTTCAGCTGTCTTCAGAGATAAGACACATTGATAAGTCGAATTACATATAATTGACTAGACACAGTTATTATATGTGTGATCAGAGACAAGATAGAGACACTGACAAACTTGTGTTCACAAATACAGACAACAAATACAAAGCACAGTACCTAACATGTGGATGGCAAGAAATTCATAACATAGAACAAACTTACTAAGAAAATTTCACAGATAGGTGTTATAAATTATTTGACTAAGCCATGAATGAAGTAAATTAGAAAGACTGGCAAAATTCAGAGTCAGGCTTGAACGCGGGTGTGGAGGAAATCATAAAAATAGACAAGCGCACTCGAACACACAAACACACAAGACAAAAGTGAACACCTGGAATTTTACTTTATATAGATACAAGTTGCGAGAACATATTTCATATACATTTCTAGCTTTATCATCCAATATTAATTAGACCTTAGCGCCGACTAAAGTAAATCACCAGAGCACAGATTAAATGGTTCGTATGTGTTTCAAGACAACCCCGAGATAATACACCACAGAGAACCCTGTCACTTAGAGACAATGGATACAGAACAAGCAGTCGACCACTCAAGCAATAGATAGACGGAGTATATGAGGCCATAAATAATAGCATCTATGTAGCATTACTATCCCAAGAAATTCATCACAGAAGCCAAAAATTTTGAGAGCATGCATCTTCCCTGTGGCTTCATACGGATGTGAGTCGTGGACTATCTCTTAGTCCTTAAGAAAGAGAATAGGGGCTTTTGAGCTTAAATGCTATAGAAAGATTCTCAGAGTATCTTGGACAAAGAAGATGAGAAATATTGACATCTTAAAAGATCTGAACATCAAGGAAGATTGGCTAATAAACAGCATCCTTTCCCGAAAGCTGAAATATTTAGGTCATATCAAGCGCCACGACAGATTAGAAAAAAATATAGCTGAAGGCATGGTACCAGGTAGGAGGGGCAGGAGCAGACCAACACGAAGATGGGCACAGGATATAAGTGACTCCTTGAGTGTGAAAGTGCATGAGGCAGGAGAACTGTCAAGAGACCGAGTTTCTTTCAGCCAGACTATGATGAGAGCGACGTTCTGCAAAGGACCTGCTATATGATCATAATGATGATGTAGCATACGTCAAGGCTCGTACTAATGACACCTTTAGAAACCACCAACTACATTTTGCTGCCATCCCATAACCATGTGTGTAGTTTACTTATTGACCTCCCCAGATATAAGCGTTTACCTGTGCACGGTTCGGGCGATATCCCAGATGAGTTTGTGAGTTTGTTTCATGGTAGTTAGAGTTTGCGACAGCTTCTTTTCCAACTCCATCTTCTGCAGCGAGTTCGCTGGGGCAGCCGCAAGTCTGTGTTTCAGTGATTGTAGCACCACCATTTCACTTGGGATGGCATCTTTGATTGGCAAACTACTTGGTCTTATCAGAAAATCACTTCTACTTTGATTTACCTGGAAATAAAATCATGGTAATTTCAGGTAATTATGAAGGTAAAATAAATTAAAAGTCAGAATATAGTGTGGATTTGATTCTTGAATTATGGCAATGTTGTCTTAAAACAGAAATACGTTGGACAGTCGCGCCTGAGATCTCACGAGCGAACTAATACTGCTATAAAAATGCCATCGAATATAGGGGCATTTTAAAATCTATGCACAGACCAGAATTTGGCGCTTATTCTGCTAGTGATCGTGTAGACAGGGCCAGGTGCACTGTTTTGCCTAGGGGCCCATTAATACGCTTTTGATTGCACTCAGTTTAGGAATGTTCATTGCATTAGGGACCATAGTTACTTTATGCGATAGAAGTCCACTCAAAGACACACGCATAAGCGCACACACACAACACGCAAAGAAGGAGATAATTTTCATTGTCATTGGGACTGTGCGGCATTTTCTAAATGCTGCAGACAATATGACGACCAGTAATGATAAACTGTTCGCAATTTAAACTCGTCAGGCCCTTTAACCAAAACAGAGCAAACGTAATTTTCAGAATCTGGTTTGATTCGATTTCCCTCCTTTTATATTTTTTGATGATGTTCCTATTATAATATATTGCATTGGTCTTAATATTAATAATATTAATAATAATAGTAATTTGTATTATTATGAACAATTTTTCGCTGTTTAGTCTAGCATGGTGAAGAGGAAGATTTAGGTAATCGAGTCCTAGATGGGTGACGCTGGCTGTTATCAATTCGTGTAGCTTTTGTTAGTCCATGAAGCTTTTGTCAATCTGTGTAGCTTTTGTCATTCCGAGTAGCTTTTGTCAATCCGTGTAACTTTTGTCAATCCATTCAACTTTTTTCAATCAGTGTAACTTTTGCCAATCAGTATAACTTTTGTCAATCCGAGTAGCTTTTGTCAATCCGTGCAACTTTTGTCAATCAGTGTAACTTTTGTCAATCAATGTAACTTTTGTCAATCCGTGTAGCGGTAACCGACTGCAAACTCGAGCGGAAAATTATGATCGTTCGTCCACTTCTGGACTTTAGTCCTAATCCAGAACTTGAGTTTTGCTTGCCCGTCAGTTTTACACACCCGACTTATTTGTTTGCAGACTGTTGATTCCCCGGGTCTTTCAAGCAAATGCACTCCGACTTCGAAGGAATGGAACTGTCTGAATGCCAATAATCTAACAAGTGTTACCGTTGACGTATGTGAGTTTGTGTAATGTCTAGTTTAGTTAATAAAACACACCGTGTAAGAAGCTTACTGCAGACTTTAGGTAAATATTCAAATCAAAGAGAAACAAATTGGAGTATGAAGCTTGGGACAATGTCGCGTCCTTCAAGAATTACCCAGTCAACACATAATGCTCTAAGCCAGTTGAGTTGAGTCAAGCATTGGCATAACAGCATTCGGAACATATCCATGCGTGCTCCATCCTCATCTTCAGCAGCCAGCGCAGAGTTCCGATACGATGGTACCGGTCACAATCTGGTTATATGTGAATCTTTCCTTTCCTCTGAGTGTAATGAGTCGACCAGACCCTCTGGTTACACCCAAGTGCCACATTCTCTCCAGGCCATATAAATCTTGTTTCTCTACTGATTCCGTTGCTTGTTCCCAAAGGGCCTTGACAACATCTGTCTAGTTAGATCCAGCCAGTCTGCCTGCCTGTTCATTACCCACTACGCCGGCATTGTATAGAAAAAAGATCTAAAGTATTTTCACTACCTGTGACCTTTCAAGGGAAGCTTGCCACTCTGCAAACAGCGTCACTAAACTGTATGCCACAGAGATGTATGACATGTGGACATCATTTTATGTTTAAAGTCCAGTTATAAAATATAATTGGTTTCCTAGTACGAAATCTGCTGCTACCCAGATATTAGAAAATTTGACACACGAAGCTCCAGCGTTGTTTCTGAAAGACGAAGCGCTACAGTGACATTATCATTATTTCTCTGTTAGGGTTTCATTACTGACATAGTCTTTACGTCTGGCTCGACAATGTCGCATGCAGCATCTCATTCAGCAGCATTGTAGTGTGGAAATGATGCGGTCGCTACAAGATTGCGTGGCAGTATTTTATCGGGTCACATGAGAACGTTCTACTATCACAGGTTGGACGGAATGAATATAGGCAAAGACAACGACGCCAACCTGACGTGTATGTTATCTTGTGCTATTGCTGTCTGTGTGTGCCACGTTTACTGTGTAGGTGGTGGGAAGACGAAATAGGGGCTGGGGGAGGGGGTGGAGTGTTTTTTGGTCCTTAGGATTTATAGCTGCATGGCTAGTGCTGTAGCGACTGACGGTGTCTGTTAGGATTTTATTTTGTGTGCCCGACTGAAATATATTGACAACTTTATACCAACGATTCGAACGTGGGTCTCTAACATGAGAGCACAACGTTCTGAACCGTTTGGCCAGTCGCTGCTCAGCGTGACATATGTCAGAGATTACACTGAAGTCACGGAAGCAAAAATATACTACTTCCGTAAAAAAAGAAGACATATTGACTAAACCCTTTTGGCCCTTGTATTCGGTATTCAAACTACCCACTAGGGTCATATGGTCTTCTACACATCATCTACTATACATTTCTTTAGAAAAATAATTGACATATGTTTAATGAAGCTAGCGGACCATCTCAGTCCTATTTTTCAAGACTAAATTCCATACTATTAGAGGGTACTATATTATAGATTCATATCTCATTTCTCCAGCGTTATACTGATTTTCTACGTTTTTGAACTAATATGTTACAGACAATGTCACAATGCTGCAAAGATGTGGCTTATTCTGTATATCTATTTTGCACACACACACACACACACACACACACACAACAAGAGCGAGCGAGCCAGCGAAACACACACGCACACACACACAGCGACAGGTGGATGAAGAGAGGGGGAGAAAAAACAGGGGAAAGGTAGAGGGGACAGACAGTCAGGAAAATACATAAAATATGCAGAGGTAGGTAGTAAGAGAAAGAGAGAGAGAGAGAGAGAGAGAGAGAGAGGGGGGGGGGAAGAGAGAGAGAAAGAGAGAGAGGAGAGAGAGAGAAAGAGTGAGAGAGAGCGTTAGAGAGATAGAGCGGGGGAGAGAAGATATATATATATATATATATATATATATATATATAGAGAGAGAGAGGAGGGGGAAGAGACAAGACAGGTAAACAGCACAAAGACAATAAAACATAGAAAAAAAAAAGAACAAACACACAAAAAGAATATTCCCCTCAAATGTCACCTGTTTGTTGTCTCCGATAAACGTGTCCACTGTTAGCACATCAATAGCGAGGTCGCCATATTGTTGCACGTGACTTGTCGTAGTTTCTTCTTTGATCTTCTTGAACTGTGCCTCCAGTGTCTCTGTGTGGATGTCGCTGGCGTCAATATTCTCCAAGAATTTGACACTGGCAGAGAAATGTGACATAGTTTATGCCAGCAGTCGCAAATAGTCAACAATAGTTTCCTTAAAGTAAAGTCAGTTACGCTTGGCTTTGCAAACCTATTAGAACATTCTTTAAAGATACCTCCCGCCCCACCACCCCTCCCCCGTTTTTCCGCTTCCGCAAAAAAAAAAATAAAAAAAAATTAATAATTTAAAAAAAAGTTTGTATTGGGAGTCACAAATAGTCAATAGTCTTCTTCTTCTTTCTTTGGTCATCTCACTGTTTCCAGTGGCGTGGTTATCTGTATGTCTTGCATTTCCAGGATGGCTTGGGTGATGAATTTGGTAATTCCTTTGCAGGTTTCAGCAACACAATTCATCGATTTCTTTCTTGGTCTTCCCCTCGCCTTCCCTGCAGAATTTTTCGGACAAAAAATCTAACGAGCAGTTTGGTCTGGCTGCATTCTCACTAAAGGTAAAGGTAAAGGTGAGAAGATTTACTTCGCTGCAAATAATTTTTATTCCATATGGTCGAGTCTCTCTCTGCAGAACAGCTAGCTGTCTGCCGAGAGCGTCGCACAGAGCACGATCTTCTTCGCTTTGGCGATGATCGCCAGGGATCTCCCAAAATATTGCACCTATGAACTTAACATCGCCGCCTGAAACGAACCCACGACCTTCTGAGCGCGAGGTAAACGGCTTGACCACTTCGCCACAGTGACCTTCTGCATTCTCACTATTATGGCTGCATTGTTTCATTCTATGTCTTTAAATCTGTAAATACACTCCAGACATGATCTTAGTTCAACTTTATCTCAAATGCTGGTATTGAGTCCAACACTGTTTCTTCTTGTTTTTTTAGTGACATTACGGAGATAGTCAACATCAATTTCCTGACATTTAAGTTTTACCTGCAGTTTCACATATATATTAGAATATTGGATATCGATCCAGAAATATGACACTGTTAAAGATTTATGACTTATTTTATAATAGCATACGCTCCATCGATACTTGAATGTGCGAGGGACTGGTTACTTGCTGTCGAGCTGCCTGGTTTCGAGGTACCCAGAGTTAATTCGAAAGGGAAAAGGGGGAGAGGATTTAAATCAGTATGGCAAATTATTACAAGTACAAACGCCCTCAATGAAACAATGGTTTGACGACACCCCTTTCCTCATAAACTTCACTGCACCTCTCAGGTTGAAAACTATTGCTGTAAAGGATAATTTTTCATGATAGAAAGAGAATAAGTAACTCAGGTGAAGGAGTTAAATCACTCTACCTGAAAACGTCTCCCAGATAGGTACCACGTTTCTCGTCAAGGTAACAAGCATAGCTGGACTCGGTCGGGTTGGCCGCGGTGGTCACGTAGATATTGATGTCTTTGGGCAACAGCTTGTCAAAGACGGACCCGGACTCACAAGCTTCCACGTAGAAGACAAGTTTAGCGAACTTTTTATCTGTATGCAATTTTTTCAGGGCTTCGTTTAAGGCCCGGGCTTTCAAATATGGCGGGTTTGGCATTCCCAAAATTCCTGGAGCGCCATGATCAGCAAAATAGACGAAGACGTAATCGTCAGGACCGGAGTTGATGACCTTGCCACTGCGACCAAGCTGGTTGTAGATTCCGTCCTGAAAGCACAAGTTGATTGGGAATTTCCTAAATTATCATAGTATAGTGTTATGGATCATGCCGATATTATTATTGGATTTTTAGAAATAGAAAGGATAGAAGACGTTTAGGGCAGTGAATCCACGTCGCTCCCCAGAATGAAAGACATGGGAGTTGCGATCGGCATAGCAAAAAACTAGATGCACACTATGCACACCAGAGGACTGGTTAATCAACATTAAACTGGTACTAAAAGCCACCTAACGCTGATGATAACCTAGCTGAAAAAAGAAAGGAAAGTAAGAAAGAAAAAAGTATATTGTTAGGCTATCCTCTGAATAATGGTCGGCGGTCGCAAAATATCCTTTCAAGCCATAGTCGCGTGTCAATTGCGCACTACTGGTCACGAGCACACCACGGCTGCTGCTCATGGGTCCTAGCCATCTAGTTTAGCCCCATTCCACGCCGCGTTAGCGGCGTGGGTGACACGTGGTGGTGGCGAAAGTCGCTGGAAAACCGCCGGAGAACCGCAAATTAAGTCACGCGACTGTGGCTCGAAAGGATATTTTGCGGCCGCCATCTTTGCCGACCGTTAGTCGGAGGATAGCCTATTGTTATTATTTTTTTTTTAAATTCCACTCATTATTATTAATTTTAATAATATGCTGAGTGCCAATTAAATAAAACTATAAATGAAATAATATGAAATAATATAACCAAAACAGTTAAAGAAAATTTATATAGATGGTGACAGGGGGCTTCTTCCAAAATAATTAAGGGGTAGGGAGCTGGAGGCCTCAAGAGAGCTTAGCGCCAGGTTATTTGTGTGGTGACAGACTTGCACTCTATGGCGAAAAAAAAAAGCGGGGGATAATCTTCTTTGCTTATCTTTACTGATCTCTTTCAATGACTCTTTTTACTTGTCACACTGTCCCAGTTTTTCTCTTATCATTAAAACTGCCTCTTTCTGATATTGGTGATACTTTGTCTTCGCGTCGCAGCCTCTTTTAAAATATTTATATAACCTCAGCTTTGGTTGGGAAAACCCGTTTACTCCATCAAGGAGATACTTACAGAAACATAAACGTGCCTAGTTCAGGCAACAATGCAGTGTCTAAGTAGATAACCGCTATGTATTTGTCCGGAACCCAAAGGGGCTCAAGTAACTTGAGCCCTGTCCCCTCCCGGCCCAGTATTGTTAGTAGGATCTCAGCTATCACTCACCCCTATTTCTTCCCACTCTCTCCTTTAATAATTGTTTTGAAAGGTAGGCACTTTGATTAGAAAATATTCAAGGGGCCAAGTGTTGCCAAAACCACGTAAAAGTGCTCTACACACGTACGTGTTTATTCTTTTCATATCAATCATCTCAGAGGTTTTTTTTCCCCTGCCATTAAGAACATAATAATAATATTAATAATAATAATTGTGAAGTTAAAAAATACTTAGGCCTCCTTGAATCCCGCCCTTTGAAAATTACAACCGTTGGACCCCCCCCCCCTCATCTCACTCCCCTATTTTTCCCCCCTTTCCTGCTGAGAGCTTGTCTCAAGCGTAATATCTTAACACCGAAGACAACATACGGACCAAATTTTATCGCACTTATGTAGATTATGCGAGACAAATCTGTAGAATGGTGAACAGTTACACTGATAAACTGATAAATCAAAAGTGTAGTTTCGATTTAAAAAGAAAACAAAAAAGTGTTCGACGTCAATGCAAGAGTAAACCTGCAAAGTCACTATGTCTATTCACTGCCGCGTCAGCAAAATTATTGTTTCTTATACCCGTGTAGACCTCTTATAAATAATATAGTCAATCGTGAGGGAAAGTTAAAGTAGAAACGCCCTCCTCAGCTGACTAAATACGCACATTTAAATAATGCGCATGCATACAATATATTGCCAAATGTTTATACTTCTTTCAGTGTAATGGACATTGTAACAACAGATAATGTGATGTGTGTATTTCACAAGGAAGAATCCAGTATATATTGGTGCATCCCTGTGGTTATACAAATAGATGAAACACAATGAAATATGCCAGGCAGTAAAACGTGTGCAATACCTGTTGGTGGTATTATTTAGATTCACTTTAATTAAAAAAAAAAAGAGAAACAAGAGTACTTATTACGATAATTATGCATCTACAACACCCTGAAATAAATAGGAACACAGTTAAATAGTTGTCGTAAATTGTGGAGAGGCATGATCACCCATGCCAGCCAGCAAACCACTTGAAGATGATGATGATGTTATTGGCGGTAGCACAAACAGTTAAATATGCGAGTATAATCAATCATCAGGTGCCCCTTAGTCTACAAAACTATATACATCATGGTCTTGTTTTAAACAATAGCCTTTTTTTAACCGGAAGACATTGAATAAAATCACAACCAACGACGTCACTACAGGAAAAAATAGAAGGCATTGATACAAAACCAACAGAGACGTGAAGGCTCAAACCTTATCTCCCTGGAGCACAGACAGGAACGTCTTGGCAGTGACCTCTTTGCCCGTGTAGTCCTTGAGAACACCCGGATACACATTAGGGCCATCCGGTTTGTTGATAATGTTGCCTTTCACAGGGTTTTCTGTGTTATCAGCAATATCATCGTACATCATAACCACTATCTGCTCATCGGGGATTCCAGCTTTGTGCACAATCTGGTAAGCATGGCAGATATCAGCTTGGTGCCTGTAATTGTCGTAGCCAGCCGAGCCAGCAATAAGCAAGGCCCAGTTTTTTCTGGCGTCTACATTGATGACACTGACGGCTATAGCTATCGCCAAAACTACAATGAATTTCATGATGATGTTGATTTTCCGTTCAGTGTCTGTGGTATTGAACACATAAAAGACAACTGATCTTATGTAGCTGCTTTATTTATATGGCTGAGAGGATGTTACACATGATGTCCTCAAAGATAACATACATTCGTCACATGTCGAGATATTGCTAATTCATTTAATTTCCTTAAAAAAAAATTAAATTAATACTGCTCATGTCAACAAATATTTAATAGTAGTATCATACTAATAGGTCGGACTGATGCGCTGACATTGATTAGAGAGTCAAGTGTGTCAATCACGAGAACGTTGATGTTCGTTGGTTATCACAAACTAATCAGTGTAATTTAGTCAGGAGGTAGAAACTTGGTGCACTTACTATCAGTCACAACATTGGCTGCACTGACACTGATCCGATATTCTTGTACAGTTCATGCCTTGTGACATGGTTGTACCACAGCCCTTCTGTCTCGTGCTTTAAAGTTAGCGAGTGCATTTAACAATTGTATAACTGTTGACGTCCTATTTTTTTTATTTATGTGGACATTTTTTCAAAGGGACAATCTCGCTACTTTTAGACAATACTACAGTCGTACCATGGACAAGACTATGTTATGTTATGTTATCACAATCGACGTCACTGCACACTGGGCATTCCCATGCGTGCTCAGTCATCCGATGCAGCAGCTACTCCAAAGTACTTTTACTAATTGTTCCCATGAGAAGTTGGTTATATTGTCTGCTATCTCGGCCTCGAAGACCGCATAGACGTGCTTCACCATGCTTTTCTTTCCTGTCAAGCAATTGTGTTAGTGTCAGGGATTCCTCATTATCCACTAGGCCAGTCCGTACAGCGTTGATGATATCTGCTCTGTCCATGCTTCTTCCCGCAATCCTTAGTGCAGTACTTGCCAGTTGGTTTGCTCGCTCATTTCCCTTTAAGCCAGCATGACCAGGTGTGTAGATCCAGGTGACGAGACTAGGTCATCACTGCGTAATGCTCTCAAAGACAATAGTTTTGGTGCACTGCATTCAGTATTCTTTGTGAAGCGGCACATAATTTGCTTTTAAACACTGACGGTTATTGATGATAAAAATCTGTTAAAATCACTATCCAGCTTTGGCGCTGATAGCATCACTGAAATGTGTAATGATATTTATAATACTGGCTACATTTCAAAGCATTTGAAAACATCTTTTTTAATCACACTGCACAAAAGGTCAAAAGACATTGAGTGTGAAGACTAGACAAATTAGCTTGATAAGCCATATAACTAAAATACTTCTCAAGATCATTCAAGAGAAAAAAAAAATAACAAAGTGTCTGTGGAACAGTTTGGATTTAGGCCAAATTAGTGGCACCAAGAAAGCCATAATCTGTTTAAAGATGCTTACTGAAAAGTCATAGAAGTCCAGAAAAGTATTTATGTATGTTTCATAGATTAGAAGAAGGCTTTTAACAGGATGCAACACGAAAAGCGGTTCTTAATTTATAACGTACCCCAAACACGAAATTCCCGTGGGAAATCCACAGCTGACCTGACAGTCCATTATTTTAAGGGGTGCAAGTGTGCTGTTGTGTGGTGCTTTTTTTTTTGAGTGTTTATCTAGTGTATTCTAACCCTAACCCTAACCCTAACCCTTAACTTGGTTGTAGATAAATCGCGAGAAACGACAACCTGAAAACCCTAGCATTTATTGGGAATGTCTCCCGTGACGTAGTCGTGACGTCAGGGGTAAGTTATAAATTAAGAACCCGAAAAGCTAATTGCATGCCTCCAAAGTATAGGATTAGATGGAAAGGATATCAGAATTATTAGCAACCTATACTGGAAACAAGTAGCAACAGTTAGACACAACAACATCACCTCACCTCAGCGAGAGAGAGAGAGAGAGAGTTAAAAGGGGAATACGTCAGGGATATATGTTATCCCCAAGCCTTTTCAACGTATATGCAGAAACATTTTTAAACAGGCTTGGAAATTGCCTGGAAATTATATCAACGGAAGAATAAAAAACAATCCGAGATAAATAGATGACACTGTGCTACTATTAGCAAGCGAGCAGGAGTTACAAGAACTAGTTGATCAAGTCAACAGGTGGAGTTCAGAGTATAGTTTAGAAGTTAATATTCGAAAAACCAAAACTATTGGATTTAACAATGCAAAAGAGCAGCTAACAGTGAATATCACAATAAACGGAAAGCTGTTATAACAATTAAGAAGTTTTTCCTTTCTATAACATGTAGTAACAGATGATGGAAAAAGCGAAACAAAAATCAAACAAAGAATAGGAATGACTAAAACTGTCTTCAATAAGATGGGCAAGTTACTGAAAGCTAGAGAGATAAACAATATACTAAAAATGAAAATCGTCAAATGTTATGTATTCTCAGTCCTGCTATATGGTGCAGTGCATGGACAATGAACAAGCTACTAGAAAATCAAGTTGAGTCTCTGGAGATAAGGGTATACAGGTCGTATTTCATAGAAACAAAATCAGTTCAATGCAGAGTTTTTAGAAAGGCTACACATGAAAAGAGAATTACTAAAATAAATAAAAAAAGAGACAATTTAAATACTTTGGCAACATTGAAAGAAATAACATGCTTTAAAAACCCTACTGGAAAGAAAGGTCGACGGCAAGAGAGCAAGAGGTAGGTAACGATACAAGTGGAAGGACACCATCAATAGACGGACAGGCAGCAGTCTGAGAGAGTGTCCAACCAGGACAAGAGACAGAGCGTGTTGGAGATCTACTGCAGTCAACCTTCACTGTTGAGAGGGCACCTAATTGATTGATTGATTTAGTCTTTTCTGATAAAGACGTTTTTCTGTTCTGATAAACAGTCTGACATGCGGATCCCCTGTCAAGCGTCGGCCAGACCCCCTTGTTACTCCTCGCAGTACCATTCTCCTCTGACCGCTATGACCTATCTGTGCCTCGGCACTGTTAACTTGCTTCTAAAGGGCACTCACAATATCCAGCCTAAGGCCTACTCCCTGATTATCTTCCCCTTCCAACATTTCTTAAATCATGATGCTCTCTAGTTTTCTCCTATGTTTATGTTAATTCGAAAGATCAACATCATAACACAGGTGTAACCCATAAGTGCTCCCTTCTACTTTTAACATCATAACACAGGTGTAACCCATAAGTGCTCCCTTCTACTTTTAACATCATAACACAGGTGTAAACCATAAGTGCTCCCTTCTACTTTTAACATCATAACACAGGTGTAATCCATAAGTGCTCCCTTCTACTTTTAACATCATAACACATGTGTAACCCATAAGTGCTCCCTTCTACTTTTAACATCATAACACAGGTGTAACCCATAAGTGCTCCCTTCTACTTTTAACATCATAACACAGGTGTAACCCATAAGTGCTCCCTTCTACTTTTAACATCATAACACAGGTGTAACCCATAAGTGCTCCCTTCTACTTTTAACATCATAACACAGGTGTAACCCATAAGTGCTCCCTTCTAATTTTAACATCATAACACAGGTATAACCCATAAGTGCTCCCTTGTACTTTTAACATCATAACACAGGTGTAACCCATAAGTGCTCCCTTCTACTTTTAACATCATAACACAGGTGTAACCCATACGTGCTCCCTTCTACTTTTAACATCATAACACAGGTGTAACCCATAAGTGCTCCCTTCTACTTTTAACATCATAACACAGGTGTAACCCATAAGTGCTCCCTTCTACTTTTAATATCATAACACAGGTGTAACCCATAAGTGCTCCCTTCTACTTTTAACATCATAACACAGGTGTAACCCATAAGTGCTCCCCCCTAGTTTTAACATCATAACACAGGTGTAACCCCTAAGTGCTCCCTTCTACTTTTAACATCATAACACAGGTGTAACCCATAAGTGCTCCCTTTTACTTTTAACATCATAACACAGGTGTAACTCATAAGTGCTCCCTTCTACTTTTAACATCATAACACAGGTGTAACCCATAAGTGCTCCCTTCTAATTTCAACATCATAACACAGGTGTAACCCATAAGTGCTCCCTTCTACTTTTAACATCATAACACAGGTGTAAGTAACCCATAAGTGCTCCCTTCTACTTTTAACATCATAACACAGGTGTAACCCATAAGTGCTCCCTTCTACTTTTAACATCATAACACAGGTGTAAGTAACCCATAAGTGCTCCCTTTTACTTTTAACATCATAACACAGGTGTAAGTAACCCATAAGTGCTCCCTTCTACTTTTAACATCATAACACAGGTGTAACCCATAAGTGCTCCTCTCTACTTTTAACATCATAACACAGGTGTAAGCCATAAGTGTTTCCTTCTACTTTTAACATCTTAACACAGGTGTAAGTAACCTATAAGTGCTCCATTCTACTTTTAACATCATAACACAGGTGTAACCCATAAGTGCTCCCTTCTACTTTTAACATCATAACACAGGTGTAACCCATAAGTGCTCCCTTCTACTTTTAACATCATAACACAAGTGTAACCCATAAGTGCTCTCTTCTACTTTTAACATCACAACACAGGTGTAACCCATAAGTGCTCCCTTCTACTTTTAACATCATATCACAGGTGTAACCCATAAGTGCTCCCTTCTACTTTTAACATCATAACACAGGTGTAACCCATAAGTGCTCCCTTCTACTTTTAACATCATATCACAGGTGTAACCCATAAGTGCTCCCTTCTACTTTTAACATCATAACACAGGTGTAACCCATAAGTGCTCCCTTCTACTTTTAACATCATAAAACAGGTGTAACCCATAAGTGCTCCTTTCTACTTTTAACTCAAGCCTGAATCTGAAGAATCTCAGCATTTTTAACTCAAAATATTTGCAGTTAATCTACTCTTTTCAATTTCCAACTGCTAAGGGATTTTTAACGTGCTCAGCAATGCACACGGGCGTCTTATCTCACTACCCAGAGACCAGAAGGGGGGGGGGGGAATTACTTGAAGTCCAAGTCCACCTGAAAAAATCCCATCAATTTTTGGAGATTGAACCCC